TCATATTTACACAGAATGTAGTACGGTGCTTCACAGGAGCAAAGTGTGACATTGAGCCACATGAAATATTACATCAGACAACCAAACAGTTTGATCAAAGGGGAAGTGACTTAACGGAGGCAAGCAAGCAAGAGAGGTGGGGAGGTGAAGAAAGGGAGTCTCAGAACTTAGAGCCAAAGCAACTGAAGATATGACCACCAATGATGGAGCAATTGTAATTGGAAATGCACAAGAAGCCAGAATTAGAACAGAATTAGGTGATCTCAAATTGTAATAGATTTGGAAGAGATATTAGAGATGAAGAGAGAGAGAAATGCAGACAGACAAGCACAAATGGTAGAGTTTTGGATGATCTCTTTCAAGCTTAAAGAGGGTAGAACGTGGGAGTCCAAACAAGATTGTTGGGAGAGTTGAGTCTACATGTAACAAACAGTGGATGAGGTTTTTCCATTGATAAGCAAAGACAGGAAGTGAAGTGATATTTGAGATGGAAATAGGTGGTCTTAGACAGTGTAACATACAAAAGCAATGGAGCCAGATAGCATGAATGAGGCAGTGACCGGATAGAGAGAAAGTGACTGGAAGACAAAAAAAGCGCATTGGGTACACATCGCAATCCACAGTGTGCAACATTAAGTGAGAGAGCTTGAACAGCAGTTGTTGGGTGGCAGCAGCAGAAATGGTTAGGAGACGTCAAATGAAGCTGCTGATTGCAAATCTTCCTTTCTGTAGCGTTCAGCAGACAGCGGTTAAAATTACAAGCATTGCCAACTTATAATAAATTTCTGCTTTTCGTCTGAAACAAAAATGTTGGGGGCAGGAGGGAGATGGGGAGAAATATAGGGTTCCAATTTAAATGTCCATTCTGCAAATAAAAATTGCGGTTTGAAGTGTTAAAGGCTCGTGCCCCAAGACTCCTATAATCAAAGACCAGGAGATGGGATGTGCTCACAGTATCACATTAGAGAGAAGATGGTTGGGTATCTTCATGGAGTGAAAATGTGGATTTCAATTCAGGAATTACTTTTCCAGGTCAATTTTTGTTTCCTCATGGTCTCCAACAAAAAGACTCTCTAGTTTCATCACACAATTCCCATTTCTATATCAGTACATTTGCTGCAATTACCTCCAGACTTGACAATACCAATGCTTCCCTGGCTAGGCACTGCTCCATGAACTTATCCCTTACTTAAGTTGCTTAAATGGCCTCAAAATGCCCTGGAACCATGTCAGACCACACCAGTACGTTGGTTAAGGCACCAGGAAAATTCCCATGTGCTCCTTAGACCTTGGTTGGGGGGGGTGGGGGAAATGTTAGTTGACATTAGGACCACCAATGCCGGATACAAGATTCCTTTATGCAAGAGAGGCAGTTTACTTCAAGGGACAAAGTTTGCTGTTGAAACCATGGGAATGGCTCTGCATGTGTAACAGGCAGGGTCAACATTAGCCAAGTCCTGTGATGTAGGAGAGGCAGTCCAGAACAAGCACGTGGACCATATGAACGTTGCAACCTCTCAAACAGGCCAGGAGCAAAACGTACCCAGCCCCTCAGGACATCTGGCAAGGCTGTCAGAACACGTGCATTCTCCCCCTCCGCCTCGTGTCAAAGAAACCTCTGGTGATGAAATAGACACCGCTACCTCTTGAAGATAAAAATCGGCTGAGATACTCCGGGCACAAGAGGCAGGTTATGGTCCAGTAGGTGTTGCCAGTATCCGAGGCAGAGACAGAGGAACTAGAACTGGTGAGAAAAAGCACCAGCAAATGCTGCAGGTAAAAAAATGGGTCTACATCCCAGGACTTAGAGGGGAAGGGATATAGTGATTGGAATGAGGTCAGCCAGGTGGATCTCATGGAATGAGTTTGCTGATTGGTCCAGGTTAACAGCCCCAATCAGGGAGCCCTGGCTGACAGATATAAACAGGAGTGTCAGCTCTGTGC